ACAGACACTTGCAGGCCACCTCTCAGCTGTGATACAGAAATGAAGTGCAGAACAGCCCCCGCTTCACACATCCCTGGAGCGAAGGGGCACCCAGCGCTGCCAGCAGCTCCCCTCGGCGCACGGGGTGGCTCTGCGTGGCTGCAATAAAACTGTGAAAGCCTGCGCTCAGAGAGGAGGAGGAGGGAGACCGCAGCTTTGAGCTCGTGTGGGAGTCCCTGCCGTTGCAGTCAGTAGGGAACACATTTTTGTGAATTGATTTTTTTTCCCCTCTCACGAAACGTATATGGGAAAAAATCATTTGGACCCAACGTACTGAAAGAGAGTTTGGCTTCGTTGAAAAAGTAAGCGCCAGATATTTTTAACCAGGAAAAGGAAAAATGATGATCCCAAACTAACATTTTTCAGTATGTTAGTTTGCTTTGATGAAATCCCCATATATTATGCTGAATATGGACGCTTCCCCCAGAATCTTCATTTTGGCAACAAAAAAATAGCCTCTGTAATGAAAAAGTTAGTTAAAATGAAAAATGTGGACCAGCTGGATTGAACCTAACCCCTGGCAGTTGAGAGCAAGGGCTCCCAGTTGTTCTCCCACCTGGTTCTGGGATAAGAGCCATGGAAGAGCTCTTTAAAATAATCAGAATGAAAAGAGATCCAGCTTCAAAGCCATCTCTCTCTCCACCCAGCGAGGCTGATCCCCTCCGTTGTCGTCTTGAACTAAACAGGGGCAAGTGGCATTATAGAAAGGTCCAACCTGGCCTGGCATGGTGCGAGATCTCTTCATCACCGAACAGCTTGCGGCAGAGGTGTCATCTTTTGCACCGTGCTACAGCCTGTGTTTTGCTCCCGTCTGAGCTGGCACTGCTACCGACACCTGCAGATCAGCAGTCTGCGGGGAGGTTCGGCTGAGCCAAATCTGCTGTCGCCTGTATATTGTCACTTGCTTCATTCAGTCACATCTACAATATTTTTCTGGAATGCTGCTTAAACTGAGATTAGGGTCAGGAAAGCGAGTACGGAGGATGACCTCTTCTTTTCTCTCAACGACTCTGCTCTCCGTGAGTCCTAGGAGATAAACCTGCTTGTTTTTGTGAACAAAATGTGCTATTCCTGTTTGCGCTCATTCATGGGAGAGCGAGCTGGAGTCTGTCCTGGCTGGTGCATTATGACCAGAATTATTTACCAAGCAACAAGGGTGAAATGCACTGTTGTGCCGAGGCTGACGTCAAACTCATCCGGCACGCGGGCCTCACGCTGACCTTCTGCACAGAGGTGAGTTTTAACTCCAATGCAAAATCCTGGCTTGCAGATCCCTGTTTGAGACTGCAGGTCTGGCAGTCATTAAAGGCATCACTCTAATACCAACTGGGAAAATCAGATATGGAGCTCTGGAGAGACAGTAAACTTGGTTGGAGTCTCCATGATACAATTTTAATGAAAATCCTGTAAAATCACACTAGAAAATCTCATGCTTAGCATACACAGATGCATGCCGTTTGCACCTGCCAGAAGTTTTCATTCTGTTAAACCTTGCAATTTTATTCATTCATCAGTTCAACTGTCCTGACACCATGTACAAATACGACTTATCAATAGAGGTTACACTGAAAGTAATGAGAAAAGCACACAGGCTTCATTAGCACCAATTACAACAAAGTTATAATTGCTTCAATTTAGTCAGGCTCAGAACCAATATACTTTACTTGGTAACTGCCCTTGAAACATAATGAATTCAACAAGGAAAAATTTTATACGGTCTGTGTTAAATTATTAAAAAGGAGGAAAAGAGGGTTCTTAATTATTTAATGTTTCACCAATAATTATATAGCTCAATGTAATGTTCACTTATTGGAGAACCTGAACGTAAAAAGTAGCATTTGAGAATATTAGTCACGCTCAAAGCACTTGCCAGACCACAAATGCAGTATGGTACACACAGAAATCCTTTCCAACAGCATTTAAAACATTAGGAATAAGTCAAGCATTTGTTTAATGGCAAATCAGTTATGTGTTAATATGTTTATGAAACAAAAATACATATAATTTAATTCCATTTTGTGTTTAAAATACCTTATTTGTCCCACATTCATTCACAGATTTGAACTATACTCCTGAGTAGCAGAGAGAGAGCAGCAAGTATTCACTAGGGAAAACTCAAGGATCTGGAAAACTGGAAATTGCCAGTCTCCTATCTGAAGACCCAGAGCTATGAAACAAAAAGCAAGCAGAGACATCCTAGGGCTGTCTGTTCAGAAGTCACCAAAATTCTTAAAAGATGACTTATCAAAGTTATTTTAAATGTCAGCAGTGGTAAGGCTATGTACACAATGCCTCCAAAAAGAAATACTGAAAGATTATCCAGTACACAGGACAACCTTTTAATGTATTTGTATTTATAAATCTATCTAGATATCTATATAGGTCTTTCCAAGTCGTGCTTCCCTAGCTCCCACTGCAGCACGCTCTGGCAGAGGACAGACTGCAGAGAGGAAGGTCGCTGGAACAGAAGCAGCATTCGGCGAGTCACCACATCCACATTCAGATGTGCAGGATGGTTTGCGATGATTTTTTGATTATTATTTGATATCCCCAAACGAAGCAGCTTTAAGTTTCCTGGATGCTTCCTCTGTCATCTTAAGTCAAACCACAATGGGAACCTGAAGTCTCTTTTTTTCCTCCAAAACTCCTGAATATACAGACATCCGGCATTTCTCATCCATTATCTAGCCGCTAACGTGCAAACCTGCAGAGTGGCACGTGGCCATGCAACTCGCTGGCTAATGAGTGCTGTGCATCGCTGACCTGGCACTGCCCGCAGGTACCTACCATGCTCCTTCCTCTACTAGATTTAGCAAATCTGCACAGGCGACCTGCCATCCCATTAGTGCAAGGACTCAGAAGGTGGCTGTCAGACTGCTCCACAGTGTGATAGCTTAACACTGAAAAATGAGATGAAAAAAAACTCCTGCCAGGCCACGATGCCAAAGAATCAGCTCACTCCCACTCTCTGGGGGAGACTGGGGACTCTTATCAGCGGTGGCCTTGGAGCTTAGTGCTCCTGCAACTGCAGAGCCCCACTGTATCACCACTCGGCAGGGATAAAAATGCTGAAAAGCAGAGATGCCCAAGTTCCCTCAGGGAGCCTCAGCACTCCATTCTGGCTTCAATAGAGCCTGACATACTTGAAAATCAGGATGTTTTATGATATTACAGCACTATTTTAGGTACTCCCTTGGAGACCTGTGAAGTGGGATTCCTAGTGCTCGAGGCACCTGGCTTTGCAGGAAGAGGAACACAAAAGAATAAATGCAATCTATTTTTAAAGACCCATTGAAAACATTTGCAAAAGTTTTTGAAAAAGACATGGCACAGACAGAATCTGAAATGCTTTGGGGTGGGACGTTGGTTTGCTTTGCGTAATATATATTTATGTCCTGTGTTTGCATACACTGCTGTAACAACCATATTATTGATCCATGAACTTTGTTCTTGTGGGGTCAAAATCCTTTGTGCAGTACATGCACACAGTGTTAAACTGTATTGCAGTGTTAAACTGCACTGTATTCCTGGTGACCACAGCCCAGCCTCTGGCTTCTTTACTCTTCATTCCATCCAGGAAGAGCACACACACCAAGTGCAGATGTTTCCTCCGCCTGATGAAGGGTTTTTAAGCCCAAAAGCTTGCTAAGAACATTTTTTTCCAGCTATTTCAGTTGGTCTAATAAAACATATCAGATTCACCCCAAGAACCTTGTCTGCTGATGACCAGGAGAGCATTCTAGGCGCTGAATTTCCATTGACTTCAACCTTAACATACAGCCCGGTGGACTTCTCTAGTATTTAATGGTTAGAATTATATTATGTGGCTTAATGTCAGTGAAGGTGTACAAATTTATACTAGTCAAGGGACATCCCCTTTATTTTTATTGTGGCAATTGGTCAAAAATCTGTGAAAAGGAGAAGACCAGATTCATGTAATTTGGGCAGGTGAGCCACATCTGCCAATCTCGTGTTTCAAGCCAAAGGCAGAGGTTTACTCACACGTGTCTGTGCACCGATGTTCTATAATCAAGGGTGATCTGCTTTCATTTGACTCCCAAAAGCAATTAAAAGGTCAGTTTTCTGCCCAGTAAGAACCCCGATTCTGCAATATGGGCCGTGCCTTTGAGACCTGGGAGTGGCGTGAGGCCTCACGATGCTTCCCACCTTTTTCCAGAAGAGGAACCCTTCCATTATTTCAGACTGTCCATTAGCCATCGCTCTGCTTGTGACAGCCTGGTGGTATAAAGCTGCTCCAACAGACTCCTCAATTTACCCTCCGGTCAGAAAAGAAAGACCTCTTTTCTGATGCAATGTACCAAAAAAGCCCACGCTCCTAAACCCAGCTGCAATTTGACTGGACCTGCCGGCAATCAGAAGCAGGCGTCTCTGCACCGCACCGAAGTTCAAGTGTGCTGAAGCAACAAATGAGGTAAGTGAACATTCATTTTCTCAAAAATACGTTTTTAAAGAGGATGCATACATTCATCAAGCTGGAAGCCTGGCCCACTCAAGAACTTGTTACCATGACAATTTAGAAGAGGATACTACTACAGAATAAACTAACTGAAGTCACTGATTAACCTTCCTGCAAGCTGATCTCCAGGTTTAAAGTTTTCGGCAAACAGAACCGCTTTTCCATCAGTCTGTTAATATGCTGAGAACCTGAGCACAACGCTTCAGCGGCAAAGTAAGTTCCATGATAAATGTGGTTTCCAAGCTGTGCACCAGTCACGCCGCTATAAAATCAGAATAATTCATGCAAAAATTTTCATTATGTTTCTAAACATACTTATTTACATTTTAAATCACACATTAGACAATATGAAGCATCCTTCACTTAGGCAGGTGTGAACAAGAAAACAGATGCATCCATTAAACATAAAACAATTCAATGAATTAAAAAAAAAAATACTTGCCAAACTCTTTGGCTGAAGTACTTTAGCCCCTGTTTCACTTACTTGGAAAAACACAGCCATGGCGCCTATTATCCTGTTTTCTAAAATCGCTGCTCCAAAGCTGTCAAAGTCGTCAGGATTGTAGAAGTAAATCTGCATCTGTAAAAATTAACAAAAAATCAAACTGTCAATTCAGACCAGTTTCAAATACAGTTATATACGCAATACTGTACTTAGATCAAATGTTACAAATCCAAGATAAACATTATTGCAGAGCAGAAGTCCTTTAACCAGCATCTTGATTAATGGCCTGACTGCTTTGCTGGAACAGTACCCAGGAAACAGATTCGATGCAATGCATTTTAATAACAAAACTAATGGATAAACAGCACAGCCGGTCTGTTTAGATGGCAAACTTGGTGCTTTCTGCCACCTTATCCACATTTCTGTGTTCATAGTTTCATAGACGTTAGGGTTGGAAGGGACCTCAGCAGGTCATTGAGTCCAATCCCTGCCCTGGGCAGGAAAGAGCGCTGGGGTCAGACGATCCCAGCCAGGGGCTTGTGCAGTCTCCTCTTGAAGACCCCCAGGGCAGGGGCGAGCACCACCTCCCTTGGAGCCCGTTCCAGATTCTGACAACCCTCACCGTGAAGAAGTTCTTCCTAATGTCCACCCTAAATCTGCTCTCCGTCCATTTGTGGCCGTAGATCCTAGTTACTCCAGGGGTGCCCTAGTCAACAGAGCATCTCCTATGCCCTGCTGCCCTCCTTGGATGAATTTATAGGCAGCCACAAGATCACCGCTCAGCCTTCTCTTGCAAAGGCTGAAGAGATCCAGGTCCCTCAATCTCTCCTCGTAGGACCTTGCCCGCAGGCCCCTGACCATACGAGTGGCTTCCTCTGAACCCTCTCCATGCTGTCCACATCCCTCCTGAAGTGCGGCGCCCAAAACTGGACGCAGTACTCCATCTGCAGCCTGACCAGCGTCGCGTAGAGGGGAGGCATGCTCACCATGCACCTGCTAATGCAGGATAAAGTGCGGTTAGCCTTGTTGATCACTTCATCACACTGACAAACTCGTGTTCATCTTGGAGTCCACTGTGACTGCGAGACCCCTTTCCGCTGCTGCGCTGCTGAGAAGGTCCTTCCCAGCCTATGGGTGTGTTGGCGATTCCTTCTCCCCAGGTGCAGCACTTTGCACTTGTTGTTGTTGAACTGCACCCTCTTTCGTTCTGCCCACTTTTCCAACCTGGACCTGGAGACTGGACAAGCATCTGGCTGGGATCATCTGACCCCAGCGCTCTTTCCGTCCCAGGGCAGGGGGTTGGACTCGATGCTGTCCAGATCTACCTGGATTTGTTCCCTACCCTCTGCTGTATTAGCTGTGCCCCATAATTTGGTATTCTCTGTGAACTTGGACAGGGTGCTCTCCACGCCCTCATCCAAGTCACCGATGAAGACACTGAACAGCACCGGTCCAAGGCCCGAGCCTTGCGGGACTCCACCGCCCACATCTTTCCAGGTCGATACCGACCCGTTCACCACCGCTCTCTGGGTGCGACCCCTATGCCAATTTGCCGTGCACCTGACCGTGTCCCCATCTACATCACAGCCTGTCAGTTTATTTACGAGGCCAGAATGAGACATGCTTCTACTGGCTCGTTGACACCCAAGTCACATCTAGCGTCCACAAAACAAAAAGAAAAAAAAAATATATCTCTAAATGATCTTCCTGGGATAATTTACAAGACACATTTACTGGTGCCTGGCTTTTGGCAAGCAGCCACTGGCTCTACAACGGCAGCTGCACACCCAATAAAACACTGTTATATGAAGAACAAGAAAGGTTGGTGGGAGATCACGGTGGATCACGGCAGAGACGATTTCTGCGAGTGGGAGGGGAGGACAAAAGAAAACTGCACGATGGATGGGTCACAAAGAGCACAAAAGCCCACTGGAATCCCCTCCCACCTGGCAGAGGTGGGAGACTTCGGCAACATCCTCCAAATATGAGGCCGACAGGTCTGGACAGCTTTTGCCTTGAACAAATATGGGCTGAGGAACATCCGCTCTTTGATGTTGAAATGTAAAGCGTTTATATTTAAGGTCGAAGTGCTTGCGGTTCGATTTCATTAATAGGGCCAAGAGCTCACTATACGACGGTAAGTTACATTTTACATCCCTTTAAAACAAACAGCCTAAAATTAGGCATGCCTGACATAAAATATTTTTATGTATAGCCCTCATAAGAATTTATGAAGGAAAGTCTCGTTCAGTGAGTTCAACATATGCCAACATCATTTTAAACCATTTCTGCTCACAGTGTTTTAAGGAAATTAATTTTTACTATACACTCTTGGATAACAGTACGAAGGGCTTTGGTAAAAAGGGGTTTAATTGAGATCTTGCATCTCAGCACTGCAATTACAGAGCCTAATCAAGAACCACGCTCTGCCCTGATTACCATGTGTGTTAAAACGTTCTCCGAGAGGTCCCCAATTCCTTTTTTTTTTTTTTGCACAACATGGTTTTCCTGGTTGCCTCAGTCAAATCAAGGGGAAATGTCTTGAATGAAAAATTATCTTCATCTGTCACATGCTAGCATCCGTACACGGTAACATGGCTGGAAGGAATGTGCAAGAAGAACCTTCCAAGAAATGCCATTATATAATTTACACATCCATCCATCCTACACACTTCCTTGTTGCATGGTTACATACTAAAAAAATCACACAGTACTGTTTGCAAACAGTCTTGACCCTGCAACCTTTCTGCACTCGTAGTCTGCTACAGCCTTTAATTATGGGATTGTCTACTATTTCATCCCATAACACAGTATCAGACATTTTTTCTGCAATTTACAATACACCTCCGTTGCATCTTTTTATTCTTTTATATTTAACGCACACTTCATTATCATAAGGAGCAAGCCACACACATTTTAATATATTTTCTCCCAGCAGCACAGCCTTCATTAGCTGCAAATCAGGGGTGAGACAGTTAAAACATAAAGCTAACTTCACTGCATAATTAGGTGGCCTAAACATGCCAGCAAATTTTCATTATTACTCCTTATGATATAATTAATATATACAACGTGCTGAGTACTTTGCATATAAATGAGCTTCATGGACTCTATCTAGCGTACACACAGCTGTACTACGAAATACTGCAAAAGGGTGTTTAAAGCTGTAGAAAAAGTGTATCCTATTAGAACTGTAATATTTGAGGAATGGCACAAAGAAATGCATGATAAAATTGCAAATGCAACTTTGGGACACTTCCTGACTTTTGAGTGCTCAAATAAGTCATCCTGACATAGGCTTTGGGGTGCAACTTCACAACGATCTTTGTTCTGCTTTCCAAAAATGGAAAATACACACACACTACACGCATGAACACAAACGCAGGCATGTGGTATTCTGAATGACGAACCTCTTGACACTAACATGTGTAAACCCCATAACCTGAAGCTATTTGCCTGGATGCTCCAAGAGCGTTGGTCCCATGCCCCTGCCCGAGCCCGTTCAGACTACTGTTGATGACAAACCTCCCTTGGATTAAAATCCACCTGCTTGAGCCTCAAAACAGGGCCTGCTGCATGCAGTTGACTTGCACCCTCAGCCTCTAACTAGCACACAGCAAAACACACATCTCTGATTGCTTTTTGGCTGCGATGCCCGCGGTCTGTCCTCCAGAAGAGCTATCGGAGAGACATCCCCATTGTTGCAGCCTGGGATGCTGTGGTAATTTGCTACGCACCAGGAGACCTAATGCACTGTACAGGTTTGCTCAGCTAAATTAATGCAGCAGATAGGAAAGAGAAGCAAAGATGAAGATTAAAACGGAGCCCAAAAGATTTGAGGGAGTTTAAAGTGCTGGCGAAACACTGGATGCCAAGCAAGGATGCTCTGCGCAGGCAGATGCCAAGCATTGAAAAACGGAATAACTGAGGCTTTTCAAACTGAGCCGCTCTCACCCCTGAGCAACCTCTCTCAACAGCTTTCTCTTTAGATTAAAAAATGAAGGAGTCATTGTGGTGTCACAGATGCGGAATACAAAAATATTCAGTGATAGCAGGAACTCTGGTGTGTGGACAGGAAAAGATCACTGGGATTAGCCTCCCGCTCCTTCCCTTCCCCACGCACTCCCTGACTACCAGGAACTATAAAGCACCTTAAAAAAATGTTGCAGGCCAGCCAATATTCTGATTAATCAACCAGCCATGCAGCAAGGTACAGGGTTATATGGGTTTATTGTGTACTGCTTTGAAAACCCAGAGTATTTTTAGAAGAATTGAACACATTCAGCTAGCAGGTAGACAGCAGGTCTGCACGGTGCTGAAACAAAAATCCTGAACGCTTTGATACAGGGAAGTTAATCACTGAACATACTAATCCTTAATTATTACCTTTTGCTGCTTGAACTGTAAGAAGAAATTATTCTCCACTGCTTTTACATCTGGATTTAAAACACCTTCCATAAAAAACAAATTGTTTGCTATGATTATGAATCATAGAAGATGATGATGATTCTTGGTTATTGAAAGCCTGTAACGCAGTTCATCTAGCCGGTTTTAAATAGGTATGCGTATTTTTAGGAATGGGCTGATGCGATCCATTTGATTAAACATTTAAATGATCGAGGATACTCTAATCCCGACTCGTGCTTATAACACTGGTTCTCAACCTTTTGCACCTTACGGCCCACCAACCATTTTGTCAAAAAACCCTGGTCCCACCATGGGAAAAACAAAACTCACTTTTCCCAAGAAGTGTACTTTTATGTTTACATGCATTTTAGTATTATATTAATCACTGATG